AATGGATGCTCACTTCTGTAGACCCATTAACAGTACCAATGTCAACTTCCTGATTTTGATACTGTCTTATACTTATCTGAGAAGACAATCACCACTTGAAGCTGGACAAAGGGCACATAATTCTTTAAATAAAGTCTTTAAAAATTTCCTAATGCCTGGATACCACTCCAGAGTTTACATTGTTTGAAGGTTTAGATGTCAATAATTTTCTTTGGGGGGGCGTGCATGTTAATACGTTCATGTGGGGGGTATATGTGTGTGTGCAAAGACACATGCACATGTGGTGGGTGGATGTGCAAATATTCATGCATATATGGTGTGTGTGGAATTACACATGTGGGGGCGTGTGCAAATTCTTGGGTACATTTGGTGTGTGTAAATGCACATGTACATGTGGGATGTAAATGCACATGTACATGTTGGGTGTGTGTGTGTGTGTGTAGGCCAGAGGACAATCTCAGGTATTGTTTCTGAGGTACCATCCACATTTCTTTCTTGACTGGACTCTCACTGGCCAGGTACTCACCAGCCAGGCTAGGCTGACTGACCAACATACCCCATGCGTCCTCAGCTCTGGGATTACAGTGGGATTACAAGTGTATATGACCATATCCAGTGTAGCTGTTAATGCTTTGTAAAACCTCCTCAGATAATTACAATGTGTAGTCATGGTCAGGGTCTACTGAAATAGATGATCTTTAAGTCTCTTTCTAGCCTTAAATATGTTATTTGTATATCAAAAACTCTTCTTGAAATTACACATTCAGTATATAAGGGTGAGATAGTTCTAAGTTTATTACTCACTGTGTAAAACTTTCTTTTTTCTTTCTTTATTGTATTTTTTATTTCTTATGTGTACGACTGTATTATCTGCACGTGTGTAAGTGCATTCCTGTCATGAAATACCCGAGGAGGTCCGAAGAAGGTGTAGGAATCGAACCTAGCTCCTCTGCAGGAGCAGCCGGTGCTCTTAACCACTGATCCATCTCTCCAGCCCCATAAAACTTTCTTGAGTGACCCAAGCTCCAATCTCTTTCCTTTCAACCATCCTCCTTTCGAACTATGGCCTGGAGCTGCTGCTTCTTAATTGATATCCTTGCTCTTGATTGTGACCTTGGCTAAGGGCCATCATTCTCTGGCTGTGGGGAACTTCCTAGGAATCCTCCAATACAGTTCCAGGCAATAAGATGTTATCTCCATATGGGTCTCGTAGAGGGGGTGAGCTGGAGAGAGCACTCTGCATTCCAGTTTGGACTTTATTCTCTGCTCTTCCACCCTAAAGCCAGACTTTAGTGAAAAGATAGAGTTAACTAATAAGGAAATACAGAAAAGAAAAATTCAAACATACACACCAGTATAGGCCTGGGTCCACAATCCAAAAGAAAATCACCCTAAAATTCTACCTCCCACAGGGAGCCCCCTTGAAGATCCATCTGAATTTCTCATGGGCCCACAGTCAGTGAATGGTGGTCCATAAGGAGGGTCACAGTTGTGGGCAAGAACATCAGTTAAGAAGCAGCAGCTCCAGGCCATAGCTAGCTAGAAAGGAGGATGATCACAGGTGAAAGATCAAATTCCAGAAAGATTGATTTTTTCTAGGTATAATATATGGAACATGTGCTGAGACTTTTGGAAGTTCAGATGGTAATCTTAGATAACCTGTGAGAGAACTCTTAGCTTGACTTGGAGTATGACTTGGGATAAGTTATTTCATTTCTCAGAGCCTCAGTTTTATCATTTATAAAACAAGGACAATTATAATGTGCATCTTATGTGCTTGTTTGTGGATTCAGTGATTTGATATCCAAAGCCCACAAAAAGAACACAGCCCATGTACACTATTAATATTATGCTAATATTTCCTTCAGGTGAATGGTTCAAGCATTGAATATGCCAATGCTTTTCAAGTGTAGACAAAGGATTAGAATCAACTTAGTACTTTTAGAACTTGCAGAAGCCTAGATCCCACCCATACTTACTGGATCATGGCTTCTTACACTGAGATAAGCATGTTATCCATATGTCCAGGTACATGTTGATGACAGTTTAGGCTGTCCAAGTACTGCTGGTAATGAGCTGGTCCAGGGTTTCTATGTGAGCTATGACAGATAATCTGCAGGTGGGAGTGCAGAGCACTGCCTAATCTGTGGGTCTGGTCTCAAGTCTTCATTTCTGGAAAATTCTTAAAGATTATTTTAAGGCAAGTTTTATATCTCTATCTCTCTATCATCTATCTATCTATCTATCTATCTATCTATCTATCTATCTATCTATCTATCATCTATCTATTATCTATCTATCTATCTATCTATCTATCTATCTATCTATCTATCTTCTTCTTCTTCTTCTTCTTCTTCTTCTTCTTCTTCTTCTTCATCATCATCATCATCTAATGTTTGGTGGTTGGTGGAGTATGACACTTAACTTTAGCATCTGGCCTCCCCACATGCATGAGCATGCACAGATGTGTGCACTCATATGAACAGGCACACATGCATATACCACAGTACATACAAACTAAGAGGCACAAAGGCAAACTAAGAGATGGGAGAAGAACATAAGGGAGTCAGAAAAATCTGTATTAAAACTGTAAGGGATTGGAAAAGTAAAGAGCAGGCCGTGGTGGCACATGCCTTTAATCCCAGCACTCAGTAGGCAGAGGCATGTAGATCTCTGTGAGACAGAGGCCAGACTGATCTACATAGTGAGTTCCAGGAAACAAAACTATAAGGGATTGATTTAGAAGGTATGAGACTGATGGGGGAAGAGGAGAAGAGAAAATACATGAGAAGGAGAGGGGAGGCAAGGAAGGAATGGAATTTAGGAAAGGGAAATGGTAGTGCCAATCACGGGGCAACTTTTAGTCCTCTGCTCTTCTCTCTTGGGGCAGCTGCTGGGGATGGGTGGAGAGCACGGGGGCCTTGGACTGCATGAATAGACATTTGTTGACTTCAGACCAGTATCAATTAAATTTCAAGCCATTAAAAGTCTAATTTTATTGGCATCTCAGGCAGCAATTGTTCTATTTCCTTGGCACAACTATTCCATGTGGCAGGCTAGAACTCGTCCTGTTTGGTCAAGCTTTCGCTCAGTCCTCAGGGAGAGGACAGACATGTCATTTAAAGCACTCCTGTCTCTTTACAGGGAGAAGGCTGTGAGTGGTGGTTAGTCAGGTTCTTCCCCTAGGCCCTTGCACTACCCTAGAGCTCCTGCAGTTCTTGTGCTTGGCGTCCTGGCATCTTTATGTTTTTAAAATGTGATTATGTCTGTGTATAGGTGTGTGCATGTGAGTGTAGGTGCCCTCAGAGGCCAGAGGCATCAGATCCCCTGGAGCTGGAGTTAGCAGTGGTTGTGAGCCAACTTCTGTGGGTGCTGGGAACTGAGCTCAGATCCTCTACAAGAGTGGTATGCACTCTTAATTGCTGAGCCATCTCTCTTTCCTGGCACCCTGGTATCTTGTGGACAGTTCAGCCCTTCTAGGGAGGCCTGGATTAGCTGTGAGGAGAATATACTTTTGTGTGGGATTTAATGACCCCATAGATTCTCAACAGTCTTTCCTAAAGGCTGGCTCAAACTTTTTTACCACTGGAGCGTAAGGAGCAGGGTTTTAGCTTCCTTTGGACTCCAGCATGGGTGCTTATTAGCTGGGAGACCTTGGGCTGATGGCATAAGTTCTCTGAGCCTCATGCTCCTCATATTGCTCTTAGTGTTGTTATGAAAAGTTATAGGATAATGTGTGAGAAACATGTACACAATCCGACACACAGGAAAGACTCAGAGAACTGTAGCTGTGGTGCGGTATTGTGCCATGGCGCTAAAAGCTGGACCATGGGAAATGCATCACCAGATTTCACTTCAGCAGTTAAGTCCTGGGCTCCAGATGCCTTAGGCAAACAAAATTTACCAGTATAGTTTAGAATCACTTAAATCTTCTTGACCTTGAAAGACAGTTGCACTTCTTTAAATAAATTGACCGGAGGAATCAAACTCTGAAAGTTGGTTGTAAACAACACAAACATAGACAACCTTATGAATCAACATGTAAGAACAAGTGCTGTGTAGATAAGGACCTAAGGCAGAAATTCAGAAAGAGAAGACAATCACAAGTGTAAACTTTGTGCTGTATCTACTTATGGAAGAGGTCAAGAGAAAGATCAGTATTTGCTGAGAAAGTTTACAAAACAATACCTTGGAATGTAGAAGAACTATTTCCATGTTAACATTGCTGTAGGTAAGGTGTGCACTTTTTGGTCATATTAACGTTCCATTGACTAGTGTTGTATATAAGAGATTAATGAGTCATCATGTCTTTGTCTGATGTTGCTCCAGGATGTACATCTTCGATTAGACAAGGCAGGTTTTTCCTTTTGTGGGGAATGAGGTTTGAGACAGAGTCTCAATATGTATCTCTTGCTGACTTGGAGCTCACTATGTAGACCATCCCAGGCTGATCTTGATCTCGCAGATCTGCCTGCCTCTGCAACCCAAGCTCTGGGAGTAAGGCATGTGCCACCATGCCCAGCGGGTTTTCTCTTCTTCACCATGATAGCAATGCCTACCCTCTTTCCCCTGATAGCCAGGACATCTCATCATATTAGAATAAGTTAGAGGAAACCATTCAAGTCTAGTTAGTGTTTTCCTGGTTAATTGATAGTATTGAAATCAAATGATGGTGCTATTGGGGACTGAAGAGAAAAAAATAACACATAGTATACAAAATTATTTATTAGTTTACAAAAGAGAGAATGTATTCATTCCATGGAAAAGTAAGACAATGGACGTTCCATACAAAGACTTTTAACTGTGACATATAAAGTAAAAGTGGCACTAAGACCAGGTTTAATGACTTCTTGTTGATGCCTACATTAGTATCAAGGGATTGAAAACATCAATATATAAACTGTGTGCGGAATATTTTGTTAGCTGGTTGTGCATTTCAAAGTGTCATCTAGATGCAGCAGAAAAACATATACCCATGATGTGTCTCAGTGTGGCTTCCACTAACTATAGCAAATGTCACAGTTTGTTTCTCTCTTATAGAAATCACTAGTGGTGGCTTCTGAGGGAGCAAAGTCCACACAGTCTGTGCTAGAGTAGAAGTAATCTGCTGTTCTAAGGGCATCCAAGTGCTCTGCCTCGCAGGATGCGCAGTAGCAGACGGAAGGGGTGGTGGGGGAAAAGTAGTTGTACTGGGCAGGCGTGGGAAAATGGTGGTAGGAGTAGTCCTCTGCGGGGCAGCCATGGTTTAGGGCATCTAGGGAAGCCGGCGAGGTGTAATTCTCCGGAGCACAGGAAGGCAGCTGAGCAGGTGAGTAACTGTAGTCAAAGGAGCCAGAGCGACTGGAGGAATCCGAAGGTGATCCTGGAGTCTAGACAAAGGAAAACCAGGGAACAAAGAGCTTGATAACTTAGGATCAAAAGAACTGAGCAGTGTGAGAAAATTAAGGGTTAAAAACCCAAAACACCCAACTAAGTCCACAGAAGTAATCTCTTTCTCTGGCTACGTGATTCCAGGACACCACATCCTATATTCTCTTTTCTTTTTCCCCACAATCAATTGCCTTGCTTCACTGCCTTCCTTTGGTAAAACCATACTTTGCAAGATGTTTTCTTCTTTAAACCACAAAATCCTATTGTGTCTCAGGTCACCTACACATCAGATCCTGCTGCGTGCCACAATATAAGCTGCAGGTGGCACCTTGGATGTTTCTCTACACACTTGACCAGGAAAGGCCAGGTAAACATGCAAAGGGAGAGCCTGGGTTCTTAAGGGCCCAGCCTCTGGGCTACTCCAAAATGAGAAACTCCCTTTCCTGCCACCAGAGTCTTGTCTCCTGAGGAAAACGTTACTGTCTTCTCTTAAGCAATTCTACAGTTACCTAACTTGAAAGCTGGAGAAAAATTAGGTATATCTCTCTCATGAAAATATGCATATTCTGCAGTTAATTTCCTAGCCTCCACTAAATCCAGTTTCTTTTTTATATAGACTTTTGACAAACTGAAAGAAAAAAAGTTACATTTCTTAAAAAAATTTATCTTATATTTAAAGGTTTAAAAATCATAAATCTCTAAAAGAAAATACAACAATCTTATTTGTTTTAAAGAGAACATGTTTTCAAACACTTGAGATCCACAAAGACCAGAAAATTCATATTCTTTTAAAGATCAGGACTTTTTTTTGCCTATGTCTGAGATAGGGTCTTAATTAGCCCAGGTTGTACTCAAACTCACTATGCAGCTGACACTGGCCTTGAACTCCTGATCCTCCTGGCTCTGCCTCCCAAGTGCTGGGATTATAGCACACACCAGAGGACTTCAGTTCTACTGACCATTTCACTGTCAATTATGTTCTTGTGCCTACAGCAGGTCAATAGAGTTAGTAGAGTCAATTCCATAACAAAACAAGGACACAACAAAATGATATTTTATAGATATGGCCATAATCCATTTTTAGGGACCAAACAAATCTAAGTGTTATTGTTTAAACCTCTGATTTCCAAATTAGCAGATGTCTTAACTTCCCAGTTTAAAAAGTATTAGGTAAGCTGTAGCAGGGGAACTTTTATTGCCACACATCATCTTACTTGGGAAATCATAAGTCTGTATTCTGTGTATTCAAAGGTTTATGTCATGCAGGGTGCCCACACATTGAACTTTAAGTGATTCCCTGATTGTTTCCTTGTTGATAACATTTGTATGCTTTCTCAGGAGATGATGCAAACACTGCTAAAAGTATCACTACTCCACAGTTAGCAACAATTGGGTCACATGAAGGGTGCAAATGAATTACCAGGCTCTGGGTAAAGCAGAAAGGGGCCGCTTGGCAGCTGTCTGGGAAATAGTGGGGAGCACTCTGTGTGGAGTTGAGCAAAGGCTCCTGGAATGTCTCTGTCTGAAGGTAGGACTCAAAGATCTGATCAAGGCAGCTTGAATTTTCTTCGCAAGAGACACAAGGGGAAAATTCTCCGGATTGAAAATAACTGGGTGTGGAAGACATCGGTTCAGGCTCAAAATACAGTCCTAGAAGAGAAGGAGGAAAGAATTTTTTGCTTAAAAGTTTCAAAATAGATTTGAGTTTTCTTCTATTAATATATTCTGAGCAATTATTTTGTCTGGGTGGGGGGAGGTGGTTGAGAAATTCCTGAAAATTAAATACTTTAGGAATTTGGATATTTTAGTTGTCTTAAGTTCATTCAAGTGCTAGAGAAATGAATCTAATTAATAACATGACAGAAAGCTGTCAATATGGTCAAGGTCAAACAACAGCAACAAAACTCCAACAGACCACGCATGGTGACTTAGCTTGCATCTAAGTGCCACAGTTCAGGAACAGTGCAAGCCTCTAGTTCTTGGAGTATAAAGCCACTGGCAGGCAGTCTCCATCTGCAGTTTCAGGAACCTTCTTAGAAGCAACTGATGGATCTGCTTGAGGCTTTGAGAAAATTTCTGATGCTGTGCTTTTAATTTAGGATTGTTTCTTTCCTAAATTTTTCACATAGCAACTTAAAGTTTTGAGGAGAGAGTTTTGAACAGTGACATAAATGGCAATGCAAATACTAAAAATGGAAACCTAGAGTATAGATTAATAGCACTCGCTCAAAATTACAAAAGGCAAAAGTGTCTTCTTTGTGGACATGTTCAGAAGATAATGTAATGAAAAAGACTGATAAAGAGCCAATGAGAATAATTTGGAAAACATCACCCCCTTTCCAAGTTAATATGAAGAGCCCGGTGTGTGATCATTAGTCTCAAAGGCTCAAAGAAGAGAGGTTTAGACAGCGCTCATTAAAGGGGCTACAGAACACTGGAAGTTTTTGAAGTCTCAAGTTCCTTTCAGGTGAAGTTAAAGTGACACATTTGGTGGGGACTGCCATCAGCACCGGCTTCCTCCTATAAGATCTTCTTAACTCTTAGCTGCTGAGTGGCATAGGAAGGAGTGTTTATATAACAGAATTATTTGTATGGGCTGGGAAAACTTACACTTGTTTGAACTGCTTTCTGGGAAGAGAGAAAAGGGGGAGGGAAGCCCCTGTTGGCTAGAAGCTAAATGAACAAGAGCAAGGCATTATTCTAAGTACATCAGGACGTTCTGTGTTCCATCTAATAACACACTAAGAAAAGATAACAAGATTCTGAAACCAGTCCTGGTTTTGTAGGGCAGTTTAGTTCCTTGGAGATGAGGAACTGGAATAAATGTGAAGGACAAAGTCTAGGGACAGAACAGACAGCAGAGTATAGACAGTTCAGAAACGAGGACAAAACTTTGCCCTGTTTCCTTGCTGGGCTTGCATCTGAAATCACCTTCTGATTGGTTGAATTCCAAATGGTGGTGGCTCTCTTAACCCCCAAATCAGGCACTGAAAGGCTTTTGAGATGGAGTTTTAAAGGTTTTGAGGGAACTGTAAAGCTGGCTGTACTGACCTGCGGACGATGGTATGATGGGGTCTGTGAGGTGGATACTGCTGCCTCCGGACAGCTGCCAAGGCAAGAAGATGGTCATGAAGCACCGAGAGACACACTGGAGTTCTACACAGGGAAATCGGGACAGGGGATTCTGATGGGAGCAGTGTTTCCTTCCTCAGTAAGGTAAGCCAGAATCTTTATTCTAAGAACAGTTGACTTCTTTAAACACAACCAGTATTACATTTTAATTAGATTTGGCTTGTATGTTTGCTTACTTGAGAACTTTTTTCTAACATCAGACTCTCTGCTAAAATATTAATTTTGATAAAAGTTTAATGTAAATAATTTTTGTTACAGAACTATGACAGTTCAAGAAAACTCACCAAAAGTCTTCCTATTAAACTATTTATTTTACAATGAATAAAGACTAACATTTATTAACCCAACTATGAATTTAGTCAATAATTTTCCTCAGAATTTGTATACAACAATTGATCTCATAGTCCTAGGAATTAATTTCCCCCTCAAACAAATGAATAATAACAAAATATTATTCCTAGGTTTGTTAAATCTGGGAAGCTAAAAAAAGCCACATTTTTACTATTTATGAACTTTAAAATGGAAAAAATTCTTAAGGTTGTATTCAGTGATCCAGAATCTATAAATAAACCTTTGAGTTCATGGCTAGAAAAATTTCAATTCTTTGTATCTTTTAAAAATGATTTTCAAGGCAGGCGGATCTTTGTGAGTTCAGGGCCAGCCTGGTCTACATAGTGAGTTCCAGGACAGCTGGGGCTACAGGGAGACCCTGTCTCAAAAAGACAATAATAAAAAAAAAAGATTTTCCATAAGTTTCTTTTTTTCACTACTGAATCTAAATACTGAAAAATTATGAGCCTGTACCTTTCAAGTGCTTAGAGTAAAGCAGCTTGAATTTTCTAGTTGAAAAGATAATTATACTAATCGAGTAATTTAGGATTTGTTTTTTCTTTTAGATTTCAGGTGGTGGCTTTAAAGTTTAAAGGGACCAGTGTTGTTGCTCTAGGCTGGGAAGCCTAACACACCACACCTCTCTCTTGGGTTACAGGGGGATACTTACTCCTGTTTCCTGGGCCACTGCAAGCACTATACAACCAGCCACCGCTGAAACAGGAGGTGTGTTCATTTTGAAAACGATCCATGCTGTAATGTCATGAACCGGGAAGCTGGACTCCTTTACCAGCTCTTTATGCAAATATTTGGCTGCAGCTTGAGCTGAAGGACTTGGAAGGAGAGGGTTTTAAAAATCTGCCTCATTGTAGAGCTTGCTTTAACCCCCTGTGTCCCCCAGATTGGCCTGTTTGCCTGCCTTTCTGTTATCTCCTGAGGTATGTTTACAATATCCTGCTTGATATTATCTTCCTTGTCCTTGGCTTACTTTCTACTTAGCTCCAAGTACACAAAGAACGACACCTCCCTCCTAGACTGCAAACAACACACAAATCCACAATCAATAATTTATAAAAACACATCAAGTCTATTTAATAATAATAATAAAACCCTAATGGTTTTTTTTTTAAAAAAGAAAGCCAAATTTTATCTTTTAATAAGTACTAACGCAGATTTCAGGTTTCTCTTCACCCTAAAGGCAAAGAAGTGTGTGTGTGTATGTGTGTGTGTGTGTGTGTGTGTGTGTGTGTATGTGTAAATTGATATGGCTGAAATAAATGTTCTTTTTTTTTCTATTAAAATAACCATTCTGGTATGCATAGCTTCTCTTGGCAAAGCTTGGGACCTGGATATTTGCCTCAACCTATAACTTCCATTCGCGATTGCTTTCTTGAAAGTTTCAAACAATGGCTACTACTCTGACTTTATAACAAATTAAGATAGATTTCTTCCTGCTTTGCAATATTTGATACAATTAATTCTCTCCTTGGATTAATGTTTCCCAGCAGTGTTCTTTAACAATGGAAGAAACTGGACATAATCCCTGTTCAAGTAGAAAGGTCTACACAGAGCAGGTGTAAATTACCCTCCTCCAGGATGGTATCTGCCACCTTGCCATCTGGGTACACTGTTGCAGCGATCCCAGAATCCCAGAGCCTTCTGATGGCTCTCAAAAAGGGATTTTATATCTTGGTCTCCTTTTGAAATTCTTTATATGTTATTCCTATAAGCTTGAAAGGGCAGGGTCGACATAATCGTCCAGGAAGCAGAGTGCATTTCAGCAAGGCAGTGTGTATTTTTACAAGGCATTAGTTCAAAAGCTCTGCTTTGTTCTCAGAAGGATTTCAGAAAAAGTCAAATCACACTGCTCCAGGGAACAGAATCTGGTAAAATACCGAGGTGAACTGATTTCTCTTGCTCTAGCTCCCGTACCTTGCTAACAAGCCAAAAGTGGTCACACCAGTATTAAGGACACATAGTGATAACATTGCTTTACTTGAATGAGATATCTCTGGGTACAGCTGAAGCGGAATTCTACCACGTGCTAAAGCTCCTTGCTGAAAGACTGTCTTTTATTATGAACACCTTGATTTATTTTTTCTTTGTCTCCAAAACCTTTTCCAGTTCCCTTGGGCCTAATTTTTTTAATGAAATAACTATGAATCATTGAGGTTATTGGACTCCTGAATAGTATGTTTGGATCTGCAGAAAGACAAGCTTAAACAATAAATCAATGGGAAGGGTTTTTGTATTGAAAAATAAGATGACTCTAGTTCTGTCTTTAGCTCATTAGCAAGCACAAGACTTTGAAGTTTAGGTATCAGAGGAAACCAGATTTCTAATTTATTTACCGCCTCTGATTATTATGACCAAATGAAATAATGAGTATATCAAGTGCTTTAAAAAACGAATCACTGCAAAGTCCTTTACATTGTAAAGGTGTTTTACTGTTAGCTGAAAGTGTGCAGGTAGAGATAACTAACTTCTGCTCTGTGTACCAAATCTCAGCAAATACACTTGAGCTCTAAATTCTGAGCAAAAGGTGCAATGCACAGTCATGAATAGCCGGCTTTCAATCCTTGGTTGGAATTTTATTTTGGTTGTCTTTTCCAAATAATATCTATTGAACACTCACAATGTGGAAAACACTCTTCCACGTGCTTATTACACAGCAGCTCATTTAACATTTATAAAATATTATCATCCTCAGTTGAAGGATGTGGGAAACAGGCAGAGACTGAGTCATGTAATTTGTCGGAGGATATCTGCCACAGAATTGCTGAGAACTAAACCCAGTCCCCCTGGCTCAGGAATCTATCTCACCACTCCTCCATAATTTGCCTCCTCCCATTTCACGAACTGCCAAAGGTCAATTTATGAAGTCCTGCCTGGAAAACAAACAGCACTGGGCACAGATGCCCACAGGCTACAGAGGGACCTATGACAAAAGGTGCGATCGGAGTGCAGCTGTCTGATCCTATCTCCACACCACACCTACCCACAAGCAATTGTGCCATGTGCTGAAAGCTCTTCGCAAAGCACTACTATCTCCGCTGGATGACCACACCCAGTTCATTTGGTTCTAGTGTTGCCCTGAGCACTTCTGGCAGCACTTATCTGCCTTGGGAAGCTATGAATGAAGTGTGAGGATGCCTTATGACTGCCCAGATAAATTGTGTAATAACCTGGAACCACGGGAGGCTTTATTACACCTTTCAGAAATAGTCCTGTGCATTCCAGACACACGGCCCTTTTCTGCTGGGACTTCCAGTGACTGGGGATATTTCTGGCAAATGACCTCAGAGGCTGAGTTCCACAGAAACTAGAGGAGAGGTGGATTTCTGGGAGATATTTTTCTGAGTTTGTGGGGTATCTATACTGTCTTCTTAACACAGTAACAACCTACTTACCTGTTGGCTGCCTTTCTCCCTGCAGAGGACCAACAAGCCTTCTATATTCAACTACAACCACTAAGAGATGATCTCCCCACAGTCCTGAGCCCTACACCATGCCCCATGTTTTTGTGGCTGCTTGTAGTGACCTGGGATGATGCTGGGAACAGAAGCTGTAAGAACCCCTGAGCAAGGTCAGGCCTGTGGGTGATCTCCACATCTTCCCAGACACAGTGCTGAATGAGGCCTACCATGGACTGTGTAGCGAGTGAAGGGGTCATGCTTACGGTTCCTCCTGAGGCAGCCTTGTGTGCCCTTCTTTGCTGCAGTAGCTCTTTCACGGTGATCTTCACTCGGACACCTTGATACACCTTCGGCTTTTCTGGAGAAAGGCAACTGAGTCAGTGGTCAAGCCCAAGGGTCAAGCCCAGGCTGGCAGCCAGGGGCCCCTGAATAAGACTATCATACCCAAGGCCAACATTGATTCTATGTTTGTGGAACACAGAGAATGGTGAACGATAGTTTTAAAATACACTCACATTTCTCAAGCTTAAAAGGATAAAGGGAGGCTGGCTTTTCAGTCTCCCAGTGGGACTAGTTCTGTGGAAATCTATAGAGCCCTTCACCCTAGCTGGGCTCCATCCTTCAGACTGGCCAAGAAAGGAAAGTCTGGGTTTTGTGCTCAGCCTGCTGGCCTGGAAGAGGTTATTATGGACCCGAGTGTGTGTGTGTGTGTGTGTGTGTGTGTGTGTGTGTGTGTGTGTGTGTGTGTATGTGTGTCGTGTGTGGGGAAGGGGATTTTATGGTGTGTGTGTGTGTGTGTGTGTGTGTGTGTGTGTGTGTATGTGTGTGTATGTGTGTCGTGTGTGTGGAAGAGGTTATTATGGACCCGTGTGTGTGTGTGTGTGTGTGTGTGTGTGTGTGTGTGTGCGCGCGCGCGGCTCCCTAATTCATAACAGCTGTCCCTAGCTACAGGGACCACGGCTGAACCACAGACTGCCAGCTTATGCCACCATGATGTTTCCACCATCTCCCCTCTCCATCAGGCCAGGCATGGTTGTGGCTTTGCGAATATTTGGCCTGAGAGCCAGCCTTGGGCCAAGCAGCGGGGATTTGTCAGCCTGGGCCTGTGAGGGACCAGTTACTAGTCTGACCCTAGGAAAGGGGTCAAGCCGGGGGAGCCTCCTCCAGTCCCTTTCTTCTATGGTCCTTTCCTCGCCCCTTTCCTCCTTTCTCCTTCGGACTCCTCTCTTGCTCTTTCCATCTCGCTCCCCATCTCTCCCTTTCTGGTGCAGGTATTTCTGGGCGAACTGGACTCCTGGAGAGTTCTTGCAGTAAGAGCTCCAGCTCCAGGGAAAGACCTCTGGAGGCTCCCTAGGACCGCGCAATTGCCCGGAGGCCGCCCTCCGGAAGGGGCCGCCCCTGAGCTGGCGGGGCTGGGCAGGATGAGCCGGGGACAGCGAGTGGCCGGGCGTGCTGGCCGGGGGTCTGCAGGGAGGGACACGTGCGCGATCAGAGACTGGTCAGCCACAACCCGCCTCCCCTCTCCCCACCCGGCAGAGCGCAGTGAGTAGGTCTGGCTGGCTATTGGGTCTGGCCTGACCAGACGCGCTTTCCAAGTGGGGTTGGCGGCAGGAGCCCAGGGTGACTCCCGCCCCGACCTTGACCCTGGAGTGAGAGCCTGGGAGTCCAGCAGAGGGGCTGAGCGCGGCGGCTGGGGGCTTGGGCATCTGGCGGCAGTGCCAGACCACCAGCGCCTCGCCTGGTTAGTGCAGGGACAGCGGCTGGACATCAGGGACCCCCTGCCCTCAAGCCAGACCCAGAGGACTAGGGTCCCCCCTGAAAGCGCGGGTGCGCTATTCTCCGCCCAGGCCCTGGGAATCTGACGCCCTGCAGCAGTGCCCGGCGCCGCGCCCTCTGCACTGCAGTCTCTTTCCCTCCGCCCAGTGCCTCGCTCGGTTCTGGGCTCCGAGGGCAGCAGGCGCGCATAGGGGTCTGCACCAAGACCTCCCCAGCCCTGCTCCGCGCGCCCGGTTGCGCCCAGCTCAGCCCCGGCTCACAGTGAGCCTCTAGCTCCCCCCGCTGCCGCTTCAGAGCATGCAAGGTCTGATCAGCCAAGCCCCGGACACCGAGGTGAAAAAGTGAGAGGGCGGACAGGGGCCTGGGGTACGTTCCGCAGCGGCTAACTGGGCCTCTGGGCCTCTGCCCTGGGGCGCAGGCCCCGAACGGGAGCGGCCCCAGGGGCCCAAGCCCTCTCTGATCCTGGCCCGGCCCTGACTGTCCTGGCCTGACTTTGTGCCTCTCTGTTGTATGCAGGAAAAGCAGTGGAAATACACTCGGATTGAAATGCCCCTGGCCCGCCTGTCCCGACCCCTGGAGAAGCAGCCAAGTTACCGGACATCGTGGTCAGCAGGAGCTGGGTCAGAGGCTGGATGCAGCAGCTTCAGGGACTGGGTGCCTAGGAGGGCTCCTGTGCAGGGAGAAAGGCAGAGATGCGACATTTTAAAAGTTTCACAAAGCACCCGGCTGCACCCAGGTCCCAGGAACAGGAGACACACAGAATTAATGTTTTATACCTTCAGGTATAGGTTTGAGTTTTTCCCCCCTCATGCCAAGTATTTAAAACCTCTAGAAACCCATGATTTGACAATCAATGATTGCGCGATACTTTCAATTTGAATATTCAAAGGCTTAACAAAATGGACTATCTTCTGCAGAAATCCTGCACACAGGCACCCCACAGGCAGTCCAGAGAAACAGGGAGTGAGATCCCTTTGGGTCCTGACCCTTGCTTTTCTCCTATTTTGAGCATTTTGTCCACCTTCCCACAGACAGAGGAGGTGTCCTCAAAGATGCTCTGTATTTCTGCCTCAGAGGCAGCTCAGAAGTCCCCAGTGACTCAGGCTATATCCGGTTGACCACCTGAGCCAGGCTGGCCAGCCACATTGATTCTCACTTGCCCATTCTCCATTTTGAGGGAAAATCTCAGCTTTTGGGGAGTGAACATGGCAGCCAGTGGGTGTGGCACAGCAAAGGGTCACTTTGGGCCCAGGTTGCAGGCCAGAGGCCAGGAGAGGCCTAGCCTCTGTACTTCGCATTCCTCTGGCCCTACCTGGCTGCTTGGGGGCTTCCCTCCCTTTTATATCCTTCTTCCTCCTAAGCACCAGACTCGGGAGTTTACTGCATCCAATCCTGAACATTAACATTCTTTCCTCCCCATGGAACTGTGGATGGATGTCCATGGGTCTTGCCCATCAGAGATTTCCTAGGCTGGGATTCCATCCCTGCACTGTGAAGTTCCCTTTCTCTGGTTTTGCTCCTTCTAGAGCTGCCTCAGGCCTTCTGCTTCAGCATGTGCCTGAGCATTTTAGCTGAAAGGCTGCAGATTTCTTTTTGAAGACTCTCACTTTGGGGAGAGAGATGAAGGGATCTGGGACCAGGCTGAGGCCCCTTACCAGTACCTTGGGCCTGCACTGATACACTGGATGCATTTCTATCTTGCCTGCAATTTGAAAGATGGAAGAGCTAGGAGTGATCTTGAGTGCCAGCCTAAGTCCTCTGGCAGCTCTCAGGAGAAGGGGGCAGCACTGGAAGACAGAGACATAGAGGGTTCCCTTTGCAGAAAACTAAGGTATCCCCAGGAATGCCAGGAAAAGGGTTGGCTATAGGCCTCTGTTCTTTAATCCCTGAGTTCTCTGAAATGGGAAAAAAAATAAATAAACCGTGTTTTGGCCTCCTCAGAGGCCTCTAGAAAAACAAAACAAAACACAAATAGCAATAGCAACAACAACAACAACAACAAAAAACCCTAAAGCCCTTAAATTTATCAGATTTAGGATACAACAAAGAGCTCAGATGGTAGGAACTGCCAGACAGGTGGAGTCATATCTCTGGAAAAGGCTCAGGGCTGGGAACATTTGAGGTAGCATCTGGCAGTGGAGGGCATGATGGGATGTGATTGTTCCTGGCACACCTGGGAATTATCAGCTATTGGAACCTATTTCTGTAAAGCCAGACCTGAGGACCAGACCAGAGGAGGGGAAGGACTATGGGGTTTGAGAGAGGTCTTCTCCTTGGCACCATCCCTCTGCTCTGCCTGGGCACTGCTTGGAACCAGGGATGGTCTCCTGTCCTCATGCTTCTTTTACAAAACTTTCCTCTTTGACCTTTGGCCTTCCTGTTTACCACCCCCTCACCCCATTTCCTAGTCTTTGTCTTCCATTCCAGTGGACACTACTTTCTTCCATTTCTGGTCTGCATTTTTGTTTTTCTCACTGGTTCTATCCCTGCCTCTTCCCCCTGTTCTGGGGGTACTGTCTCACTCTTTCAGACTAAATATCCTCCTTGGTTCCCTGCTCACACAGAAATTGGCAGATATGGGAAAGGCAACATCTAGGAATTTGATGTTCATGAATGTGTACCCCATGGAGAACCCAGGCCAGGCTGGGAATCCTGGGAAGTCTTGGGCTCTGCAGGGGCAGCACAGAGCAAAGAAGTCTTTGTCCCTTTTCCCAGAAGCCTCTGCTGCTTGAGCCGTGACTAAAATGCTGGGGCACCTGAGGTGGTACTGTTTCTGAGATCTACTGTGCAGTGCTGTTGTTGGCTAGCAACTTCAAAAAACGATTTCCTCAGGCCTGAGGCCCATTTTGAATCCGTCCCCTTTCCTCTGTGATGGTCAGCCCACCATTAAATAGTTTTGGTTCTTGTTCCTGTGATTGCAAAGCCTCAGCACAGGTATTTCAGAGCCCAGACGGTACTTGAGGAGGCAAGGAATAATGCTTTCTAAGTAGACCCCCACCCCTGCATGTCTGCATGAGTAACACCTAGAGTAACCAGCTATTTTACCCTGAGAACCCAGAGACCCACAGAACTCGGTACTCTGCTCCTTCTCCCCCCCCCCCGCTCCTTCCTTTCTTCATCCCCCTCCTTCTCTCCCTTTCCTTTTCCCTCTTTCTTTGGTGGGGTGGAATCCAGGGTCTCATGCATGCTGGCTAAGCACTCTACTACTGAGCTATATTCCCAGCCCACAGGAGACTCTTTAAAGTTCTCATCTATTGTTTACTGGATGCTAGGCACTGTATTGTATAGTATTCCCATTGCATAGATGAGGAAGCTGACCCAGAGGAACGAACAGCTTCCTAAGTTTAGTGAGCACACAATGGCAGAACTGGGATTCAGACTTTCATAAGCCTCACTCCAAAGCCCTTGCTCTTAAGTCTCATTTTTGTAACTTTGATCTGTTACAGCAGAAGCTTTTGAGCTTTTTTTGTTTGTTTGTTTTCAATCCATAATAAAAAACTCAGTTTACATCTTCACAGGTATGTTTAGTAATATCTGTGTTAAAACAAACTATTCATGAAACAACGTACACCTATGCCTGTGAAGCATTCTGACACCTTCTCCGTTTCATTCCATTCATGAAAAATATGCTGGCTTGGAGTCATTCAATGAATTTAACAATTCATTAGTGAGTTGTGAGCAGTATGGAAAAATATTCCTCTTAAAATACGCGAACACATCTCTTAATGCTGTTCAAACTCCAAATGTGGGACTTTGGGGTATGCTATCTGTTTTATTGTAGTGTGTCTAAGAAGTCCAAGACTGCAGCATGTTGATGTGAGAATATTCTAGAAACACTAGAACCTTGAGAAGCACCTGGTTGGAGGCAAAGATAAACTATGAATTATGCTGACTTTGGTTTGTGGTTATCAGATAGGGACACTTAGGGCAATTGTTGCTTGTAGGGTATCTGTCCTCAAGTCCCAATAATCCCTTTGCTGTTGTCATGAAGAACTGAAAAGAAATTGCGGGGTTTGACCTGCTGTCACAGGGCCCTTTTCTTGAAGAGGTAACACAGATGTTGGGTGTTGGAAAGGATCCTGAAATACTGAGAGGGACCAGTGTCTTGGCCGAAGGCTGTTTGCCCTCTAGGTTCATTGCTGGCTCACGGAAGAATGTGTGTAGAGAAGACGGGTCTCATCATTTGCAAGGCGGACTGTACCACTATTGGAATCTTTTAAATAAAGTGATAAGTGATTGAGCCGTAATCCAACTGGGTGTTCCGTGAGCACCATATGTGTACCAGGCACCATTCCAAGTACCAGGAATACAAAATATAAATATGTCCTGCTTTCTGCTACACATGACTGTTCTCCCACTCACACTACCCCTATTGTGGACTTGTTTAGTCTGTTTTTAGATTCATTCATTCACTCATTCATTCAAAACAGTCCAGAGCCTGCCTTCCACACAGGCCTCCTTCTCTTCTCCAAGTCACTGTCTACAGTTTCTCTCCTTCTTCATAAACCAACGTTCTCTGCTTATCCTTGCTACAGCTCAGAAATCCTTTAGTTTGTCACTGACCTTCGTAAAGCCAGTCAGCCACACTCGAAGTAAGTAGAATAGATTTTTTTAAGGTGCTAAGCTGAATGTTTTTAACTGAAAAAAAATGGTGGTCTTTTGTATGCAAATGACAATGCCAGGCTATAATTTTCCTCCAAAGTAGGTTTAATTAAACTTAATACATGCATAATTAAAAGACTTTTGGTATAAGGAAAAGGTGTAGTTTATTCCCTCTGAATTTGATTATAGCCCTAAATTCTCTTTAATAATGAAAATTTCTTTTGTCACCTTGACTTTTGGGACACTGTTACCAAACCTTGTGGGAAATACCAAGTTCCCAAATGTTAAATACATAGAGGAAACAAGCATTTATCGGGCACTAGGATGCACATTTGGTTCACATGAAAATGACCAGAAAGACTAGTTGATAGAAAGTACTTAATAATTTGTGCACAGTCAGTTTTTTCCCATATTCAGAGGTTTAACTTTAAGGAATATTGTTTATGAGGAACAAGCCTTTGATCATTTATCATTTAGATAAGAGAAGGGCTATCATGTACTGCTTGAAAGGTTCAGATTCTCCTGAAAACATTTTGTTGTACAATATTTACAACATAAAAACACATATGAAGAATACTATCATAAAAACCTATGAACTTATCACCAAGGTTAATAAATAAAGTGGTCGAGTGATCTTACATATATGACTCATAATTTTTATGCATTAAAACTTCTGGATTATTCCACTCAAGATATTTGATTAAGGGAAAGGGCTATCATTTTTCATAATGCAAAAGGGCTATTTCCTAGATAATACATAAATATTACATAGACACATGTGGCTAGTTAGTGAATACATTAGTATTTTTTGTGCTACTTTAGTAATTTTCCTTCTTAAAGATATTTTACAATACTAAATCAACGATCTTTAAAATGTTACCAATAATGCTCAGTGTTCATCTGTTGTCTACTGGGTTTGGAGAGCTATCATCCACAGAGTCAGGGCTTAAATGGTTCTACATCTTTGTTGTATAGTTTTAGTTCAATCTAACAAAGATTTACAGAGAACCTACAACATATTGGCCCAAGCCAGTTACTATGGATACAAAATAAGTCATTCAAGACTCTCCTCCTTTTAGGGCTCTTTAGCTAGAAACGCTGTTTTTCTCAAGTGTGTCATTTTGCCCTTGACTTCTCTTGGTTATGACGTGCAGGATGAACAGTGTAGTAGTGGTTTGAATAGAGAGATTACTTTAGACAGAACCTAATGATGTGTGGTACATAGCATCACTATAATGTCAATATAATACAACGTGACTTAAACCTTGAATATTAATTATTATTTTGGTACTTTAAATGTAACTGACATTTTATTCCTGGCTATATGTTTTTTATATTTACATATTGAAAAGACTCTCCAGATACTCTTCTCTCTCTATATATATGCATCTATATTCAAATATGATTTTTTTGAGACAGGGTTCCCCTGTAGCCCCAGCTGGCCTGGAACTTACCATGTAGACTGGGTTGATGTTGATCTCACAGAGATCTGCCTGCCTCTGTCTCCCAAGTGCTGGGATTAAAGGCATGCTCTATCACAACATACCCAGCCTTATGCAAGTATACATTTTATTGCTGAGGTTAGTAATTCCTTTCCCTTTGTGGAATGTTTTAGAGCACTTCAGTCTCCTTCCTCTATAATACTACCATGCTGTTATAGTATTAACTCAGCCATGTCAAGTAGTAATGATCATTTAAAAGTTCTTATTAAATAAACAAGGTAAAGATGTGGTTTTCTGCTCCCATTCTTTGGGGTTTGAATAACATTGTGAAGGAAATACAAACACTTTCAATGACATGCTATGTCCCTTTCAAGTGACTCATGAGGCAATTGTCTATAGCGCAAGTTTGCGTGGGAAAATTTTAAATTTTATTAAAAAATTTTAACTACATTTATTTGTGTATGTACATGTGAATGTATGCATTGTGTGTATGTATGGGGCTTGTACATACCACAGCATGTGTGTGGAGGTCAGAGAACAACTTGCAGAAGTCAGTTCTCTCCTTCCACCGTATAGCACTGGGGATCGAACACAGGTCATCATGTTTGGCAACGAATGCCTTTGCCTGCTCAGTCAACTTGTCAGTCCTTAAAATTCATCTTTGACTTCTTTTTAAAGATTTTCTTAAGTAACCTGACCTTGACATCACCACTTTCACCTACTTTAGATCTTAGATATGCCCTGAGTCCTGGCAAGACCTAAAAGAGATGATGTTCTGAACTTGGACTCATTAACTTTCTCTGGTTCTTCCGTGAGGGCTATGAGTCAGAAAATAGCAGGTTTGAGGAGGGAGAGGGAAAGAAGAATGTTTTTTTTTTTTCTTCATATTCTAGTATTATGCAAGTAAAGGTGTGGTTGGTCTCCACATGCAGTAGATTTGTAGTACTGGAATAGGAGACAGGACAGGGAAATGTGATGAATTTCTCTACAGTAATTTTGTAGCTTATTTCCACTTTTTAACAAGACATTCCCAGAACCACAACACAGGGCCAAATTAAAATATATGAAATAGAAACACATGGTCAAGCTAAACAGAATTCTTAAAAATCATTTACCACTTGGAACTTATTAGTCTCACTCTGACTCTCTTTTAGATAAGATAGTTGAAATGCACAGTAGATGGAATATGGCCTAAACGTGGCTCCCTTTTTATAGGCTCATCTTGTCAACACTATGAGCCTAGACACTTTAGGGAGAGCAGACATCTTCGCTCTCTGTATTCCAAGTCTGGCTGCTGGGCTCTATTTGTTCAACAACCCATTAATCTTCAGATTATTACAAGATAAATGAACACACTACATGAGTAGGTAAATGCAAAGTGAGAAAGCATGGCTAATATTTATCATTATAACCGAGCACCAATGAAAGTTATGTGGATAGAAGTGCATGCATAATTTAAAGAAACCACATTGTTCTTTTGCTTAGTAAAAAAATCACCATTTGTTAGTTGTAGGTGGCTCTGAGGCCCTCATGAAGATCCCTGATCTACACAGGACCAGATCTCTTCTTTCTGATGCAAGGGCCTGCTGCTCAGGTCTGAATAATGGCTGGATGACAGATGACTCTTCCGGAACTACTGGGAACCAGGACAGGGTCTCAAGGCACAGCAGAATTAAGAAAGGGTGACTCTTCTCAACATTAGTGGATGTTGCTACCTTTCACTGGTGAGCACACATTAAACGGAATAGAGCTCAGGTTGATTTGGTGATTTGGTCATCATTTCCTTTGAGTGTGTACTCGATACCAGCACTGCTGGGCTATGTGCAGATATATTTCTAAGTTTTTGAGGTTTCACTATTGAGGAGTCAACTGAACTTACGTGTTTATTGCATATGGAATTAACCTAAGTATTTATCAGTGAATGAATAAAATCAGCCCCTCCCCCCACAGAGTAACACTCAACCTAAAAATACCCAGTAATTTGTGATACTATAGATAAACCTTGTGGACATATGTTAAGTGAAGCAAGTCAAGTGCAGAAAAACACCTGCTGAAGGACCTCATTCATGTGCAATGAATAAAAAGATGATCTCATAGGAACAACTAGAAGAATAATGATTGCCAGAGACTAAGGAGAGGAGAGGGAATTAAGGGAGGTTGGGGAGAAATTGCTCTGGAGCTACAAAATTACAGTTAGGACTGGTGGTAAGTTTTGGTGAACTATTGTGTAGCATAGTGGCTATCATATTTATTTAAAAACATATTTTATTTATTATTTTTATTACTGACTGCTCTTGCAGAGGACCCGAGTTCGATTCCCAGCACTCACATGGTGGCTATGAACTGTCCTTAACTCCAATTCAAGGAGAATCCGAAGCCCTCTTCTGACCTCCACAGCATCAATACTGTATTTTATATTTCAAAAAAACTAGAAGAAATTACTTCCCTCTTGTTAAAAATTGTAGTTACTAAAAGGAGGATTTTAGTGTTTCACTATCAAGACAGGGCAAATATTTTGAGATCAAGCGTATGCTAATTGCCATGATTTGATCATCATATAATGTTATAATGTTTGCAGGAATGGAAATATCAAGCTGTACACCTATAGATTTGTATGACTATTGCATGTCAGTTAAAAATAAAAGTTTAAAAAAAAATCGAACTGTCCAAAAGAGTTGTTGAGCAAGAGGAGGCCGGCTTGGACCTGCGAGAGCCATGTGGCAGCCACTCAAACCCGTAAGCCCATTCTTCTTGCTCTCACGTGAGTAGTCACCAGGGAGGAGCTTCCGGTGCAGCTTCCGGTGCACGGTAAGGAAGGTTTCTTACCCCAGCATCTCTCCTGGCATTCCGGAAGTTACAGTGGTTTGCTGAGCCAGAAAACACCCTCAGAAGACAAGAGGAGAGATCCACTACCCACTTCTAAGTGTGAATTAACTTCCGTTTGAATTGATGGACTCCTGCCTATCTGAGGTAGGCTATGAGACAACAGCAGCAGACGTGGTGGATGGAGCTGTACTGAGGGACTGGCCTCGGGTACTTTGGGCATCCAGTAGAAAAGGAGAGGCTTGGCTTTTAGAAGACAGGAGGGAGCAGGGGCATCAGAAAGGGGTGAGAAGGAAGTAAAGAGAGGATGGTGGTAGAAGATAGGAAGAAGCATCCAGGTACGGCCTGTGGGCCTTGGTTCATGCATCTCCGTAGTCAAGTGTGCAGGGCATTTACGGTGGGCATGGCCTGCCCGTTAGTGGACAGCTAGGTGGAGATTATGTTGGGTTTAGCAAAGAAATCCAAATTAGACTCACACAAGATGGAGTCGTATCTCTGATGTCAGTTTCTTCATTTGTACATGATAAGAGCTGTATATCTGACCAATTAGCCTCAGAGGCCTTCCTCCACACAGCTGGTAGAGACTTTATGTAATGCTCCGACTGTGGCAGTCTGTCCTTCCTTGAAGCCCCTTTGCTTCTTGTCCTGTGGTCTGCTGCTTGCCATCAGCATAGTCCTACCTTCTGGGCTTTTAGAAATATATATGAATTCTTTTTTTGATCATTTAATGCCCATTTTACTCAGCCACTTTTAACTATAGGTTTATTCTATTAGCCAGCTAGTGTTTAGTTTAATTGAGGCTCCCATTGAGCAGATAAACATTTGAGCCTTTTTGGGTGGGTGACACTGAAACAACATTTGGACATCCTGGGTACAACTCTGCATTTGCAAAACCAATCTCCTGATCTCATTCTATTTTGTTGACAATAAAGCATTTCTATCTGATGCCATAATTTTTACTGGGCCTTTGCAACCTGTAATGAGGGGCATGTGTATAACCCTGCACACTTTAAAGTCACATCGTATAAAACTAACTCTGTTTTATGTGATATAGATACATTATACCTTTCCCATTTCTTTTGCTAAATACACATAGTTTATAACTAATAGAAAAATCATTATGTTTTATGATCTTCATAAAGTTTTTAATGTAATATAAGAAAAAAATCAGTGCCAAAAACAATACTTCCAAGATAACAGTGGATTCAGAATGAAATGGTACCAAAGTTCCAAAGTGACCTCATTGTAAGATTGTCTCACTAGATGTGATCCACGATATATTGATATATTTGATGGACATTGTAGTGTATTTTAGTGGGATTGTGGTGGGAAAGAGCAGAAATGAATGTCATTGTCCATTAGCATTGGGCAACATTATGGCTTATACTGAAAATCAGTTCCGAATGAGGGGGCACACCTAGAAAACTGTGGAACACAGACCCAATTTCAAGAGTGAAGAAGTCCTCTGATCCACCATCTCAGTAAGCTCTGCGGCATTCATATGACCCCCAGGCCATGTTCCCATCTTCTTTTGTCCAAGGTGAAGGATCATGAAGGGAGGAGGCATCTGTCCCTTCCTCTGGGGAGAGGGGAACCACCTTGGATGGTAGGTCGGTTGACACTGTCATGAAAGGAGCGAAGGGGTACGAAGGTGGGGTTGGGTACCCTGGTGCATGGTGCAGATCCTCCAGGGCATGCAGCGAATAGGACTGAGCTCCAGCAAGGGAGGTCCCCCAGCCCATGCTCCTGTGCTGTGAGCCACTTCCTGACTCGAGCTGGGAGAAGCAACTGGTGCTGGGTGGCAAGGTCTGCAGGGCGTCAGCTGGCATGGGGTCTGGCTGGCTGAGACCATCAGGCACCGTCTGCTCCCACGAGTCTCTCTGAGGAGAATAGCAAGGCCAGGGGTGATTATCCAATAGCTGATGATGCTCTTGAGGATACAGGACCGCCACTGGACTGAGGCCTCCAGAGCAGCCCTGGCCCCTCCTGCTGTTGCTGCTGTACACCTCTGGTGTTCGACCTGGCTGGAAAGTCTGGGCTCCTTTCTAGTCTAGGGTGTTACTCTTGGTCCTAGAATACTCTTTATACAACTAGGAAATGTCACTACCTGGCCCCTTTTGGAAAGAGTAGTCCTCCAAATCACATAAGCTCTAGCATGGCCTGGGATGGGGGAGTGGGTACCTTACCTTCTGAAGCCTGGGGTGGGGGTACCCTACCTTTTCAAGCCTACTTCCCTTGGAGTGGACTGAGATCATTGCAGATGTACCATGCACTGCCCTCCTGACTCTCAGAACCTCATCTGTAAAATGGGGTATTCGTAAACATTTCTTGAGTTACTACAAGTATTAAATGAACAAAGGCCCATTAAAGTCTTGACATAGAATAGGTACTCAGTAAGGTTAATTCCCTGTCCCACCTCTTTGGTCTAAAATTCCACCTTTGGAGATTCATTCTTTTGTAGTAGAAGGCTTTACAGTTTTCTATAAAAAGAGTATTAGCAGACTTGAGATCTTTATGAACTTATTTCTTTGGAAGGATCATGGGAGAAGAAGGTAGGCTAGAAATGTTGTGGAGAAGCTGGAGGAAAGGGACTGGGAGGGAAGAGGAAGTTGGGTGCACCTGTCTTGGGAGATTACCTAGTCCCATCTAGATGTAACTTCAACATCTGTTCCTTAAGGTTTAGAGGCCTAATGAAGTCTTTCACTAATGGGGTGGGGAACATTTGGCAAAATCAGGAGAATAGTTAACAAAAGGCATATGAATTCTTTATAGTTTCCTGGTTCAAATCCCTAGATAGACACTTTGCTGCCATGGCTAATCTGATCTTTGGGCAGGACACTCTCAAATGTGTCCTAGTAGAGCTAGCCCAACCTGCCACCTCTAGACATGTGCAGAGCAAACACAGCGGTCTCCAAGCGAGCCACAACTGACTTCAGCCTGCTTGCCAAGCATGAAGTTGGCCAGATCCACAAGAACCAGGGACTCCCATTCTTCCCCACACGTGACATAACCATACTCACAAACACAAAATGAGTGGGGTCGCTGGGGAAGGGAGGTGGCAGGAGAGGTGGCAGAGTTGAGGTGCTGAACAGGGAGCTTGACGTGGGGGTCAGTGCTGGTGGGCGGTAGTCTCCATAGGGCTCGGTCAAGTAGGACTCCAACAGTGCTGTATGGCTCTGCCCTGCTGAGGACTCACAGGAAAAGGGCTTGGACATGCTGGAGGTGTAGACATCATTTGAGAATGGTTTGCTGCCATGGAAGTCCGAGTCAGACAGGAAAGATCTCCTGACACCATAGTAACCTGACATGACTGGTGATCCTGTGGCCAAATGAGAAGCAAATGGGTGAAAGTTTCATCTAGGAAACTCAGAGCATTGTGGCTTCTGCTTGTTGCGGTGTGAAAAGATGTTACCCGCATGTGCCAGGAAGCAACATTAACAAAGCAATAGACAAATGTCTTGAAAGGCATAAACTATTCCTGCATCACTGTTTTTAACTGTTCTAGCCCAAATAACAGATGTGCTCAGAGTTGATTCTGGCCTTAGGGATGAGTTAATGCCAGATGTACAAAAACTTTACTGAGGCAATGACTTTTCATGTATCTTCCAGGTCTAGACACTATGCTAAGAAGGAGTTTAGAGAGATTAAACCAAAGAATTCGTTGGTACCCTAGTTAGCATCAACTGTCAACTTGACATAGTCTAGCATCACCTGAAAGAGAGTCTCAATTGAGTACTTATCTGTATCAGGTTAGTCTGTGTGCATGTCTGTGAGGGGTTGTCTTGGTTGTTAATTGATGTAGGAAGACCCATCCCACTGTGGGCAGCACCATCCCTAGGCAGATGGTTTGGGGCTATCTAGAAATAAAGCTAAGCATGAGCCTGTGAGTGAGCCAGCAACTAGCATTTCTCTGTGGTTTGTTTCAAGCTCCTGCTTGAGCTCCTGCCCTGACTTCACTCTATGATGGACTGGAGCCTGTAAGCTGAAATAAACCCTTTTGTCCTCTAAGTTGTTTTTGGTCATGGTATTTGTCACAGAAACAGAATGAAATGAGAACACTTGGAATTTAAATTTTTTATGGAACTGTAAGCATCTTTCCACAGTTTCTGAACTACATCCCATAATACACAGGACTCTTTCCAAGAGGCTTCTTCTGGGCTTCTTACTTGAGATACTATACTTCTAGATTAGGTGGCACATATAACCCCCCCTCAAGTCATAGGCATGTGGTACTGTCTTTGAGTTCTTTTGTGCAGTGACTTTTAACAACATGTCTCAAACCTACTAGGCATCAGTAAATGACTTACTTTGAGATAATATGGTTTCAGAGAAGCCAGTTTTAGAGGAGCACGGAAATGACTAGTTTCTGGTTTCGATGAGTCTGGTGTTATTTGCTGCCCCCTGGTGGCCATACTGAATCCCTTGCTTACCTCACCAGGACATAGGGCACGTTTTGGAAGAGAATGCCTGGTACAGTTTTCTTTTGGAGGAAAAAACAGAAACTGACAAAGGTCTTATTTAAGAAAAGACCAAGGAAATAGTTCCAAGAGACAAGATATGTATTCTTTAAACACTTTCTGACCCGGCAGTCATCTGTAGCAGGAGATGGATGATCATTTAGATCTGTTTGGGAATAGACTCTAGGTCTGCATAATTGATGATCTAAGTATTCTTCCTGGTGAAAGAAGAGGTCTCATTTAAAGCAAACACATGGAGGTCACAAAAGGCTGAGCTGGGAAGAAGATGCAAGTCTCTGTCTTCTTTACCTTTCTCCCACAAGAATGGAGCACATCTGAGCTTTGACCCTGCCCCACACCACATTCTTTAGAGAGAAAAGAAGCCAAGTTCACGAGGACCTTTCCCCTTCTCATCATACGTAGTCACACTGAGGTAGGCCCCTCCCACACACCCTGACACTTTGTATTGTGTTCATTACTCTTTCATCTGCAAGATCCTTAGTGGCAGATCAGGACTTATACATGTCTGTAATCCCAGGAGTGGAATAGTGTGTCCAACGTTATGTGCAAATGTATTTGTTCATGGGAAGCAATCACGTTCCCTACTGGAACTTTAAGTGAGCTTCATTCATTCACCCTTGTTTGAAATTCATCAACTTTCAATCTGCTTGTACATTCAAACTCTGTGGTGTCAAATTTATATGAATTTACTTCCCTGGGAAATAGTCTAGCAAATGAAAATTCATATCAAGAAATAAGTTTCTGTTTCATTTCACGAAGTTATATCCAAAGGATCACTGAAGAACAAAAACAGAGTGAATCTGTAAACAAGGCTTCCAGGCTGCAATGTTTATATGTCCAGTTTCCAAATATAAAAATCATGAAGAAAAGCCCTCTGCTTTCTTGGGCATAGCTACTTTAAAAAAGAGGAAGAATGATTCTAGAAGTTTAGAGAAGATGCAGAAGCTTCTTTTACTATAAAAGAGCAATGCAACCACATTCCAATGGAGGTAAATTAGACTGGGAAACACCATGTAGAGATTCATGTTATCTGGATGCTCCGTAGCTCTTATTCCTTTACATATGTAACTTGGAAATTGCTAAAGCACACGTGAGTTTGAGATATGGAAGGGTGTGTGTGTGTGTGTGTGTACATGCAAGAGTGCTTGTTAAGAATATTTCTTGGGGCTGGAAAGTTGGCTCAGCAGTTAAGAGCACTGATTGCTTTTGCAGAGGACCTGGGTTCAGTTCCCAGCACCCACATGGCGCTGACAGCCATTTGTAACTCCAGTTCCAGGGGATCCAACACCTTCTTCTGACCTTCGTGGGCAGTGCATTACATGGGTGCACTTACATACATGCGGGCAATACATATAAGATAAAAATAATTAATAAAAATTTATAAAGAAATTTTCTTTCATAGGAGTGTGGAATAATACACATGGGGCTGACATGAACACAGCACGCTGAACAAAGTGTGACACACAGTGTCTAATAAATGGCAGTCCCCACCCCTAAGTTTCTTTTCTCTTTCTGTCTAACACGGGCACAACATCTCTCGATAAGACAATGGTTCCAGAACTTAAGACATTTTAATACTATGCCAGGGGCCTAATTACTAGGCCAAGCAGGGGACAAAAGGCTGCCTTCAAGACACAATGGGTTGAGTTCAGGTCTGACCCAATGAGATCTCTCTTCACTGATTGCTTTTTCAAAGAAGCAAAGACATAAGGCAAGTATTCAAATGTTGTAAGCTCTTGACTAGAGATTGCTTGGTGGCAGAGTACTTGTACAGCATGTGCAGAGCCCTGGGCTTGGTGGTTACCCACACTGAAAAAATACCAACCAAATGATCTGTTGCCACTCAAACAGGAGTGAATTGCTTGCTGAGTTAAAGGACTCACCTGGCATCTGGACGAATGGAGATTGGGAGGAACTGATGCTGCCCTAGAAAGCAAACAGAATGCAGGTGTTTTCTTTTTTAGTTACAAGCTTCAATTTAATTTAAAGTATAAGAGTATAATCCCAAACCTTCATTTTCTTTTTTGTTTTTTTGCTGTGTGCATATATATGTGCTTGTGCACATGTGCAGGTTCATGTGTATGCATGTGCGTATGGAAGCCAGAGGTCTCCAGGTTAATGCTGGGTGTTGTTCTTCCAGATGGTCAGCCACCCTGTTTTTTGAGACAGTGCCTCTCACTGGGACCCGGGCTTGCTGATTAGGCCAGACTGGCTGGCCAGTGAGCCCCAGGGATCCTCCCATCTGCCTCCCTTCCCAGCTCTGGGATTGCAAGCGTATGCCACCTCCTTGGCTTTATATATGGCTGCTGGGTTGAACTCAGGTCTTCATGCTTGTCCAGCAAGCACTTTATTAAGTAAATTATCTCCCTAGCCCTCAAACTCTATTTTCTGATACTCAGAAATATTACTCGAAGAGTTGGATGGGGGCAACTTTGAATTAGTATTCAAGTACTGCAGAATGAAGTTTTACAAAGGATAGAGCAAAACTAAATTTGTAGATTCTGATAAACATGTACACAGCATTAACTGGATGAGAAAGAATAATTTATCCTGTATTTTACTGTTTGAGTAATCAAATATCTATTAGATGGTATTACATATGCATATATTAATGTGTTTGTATATCTATATGTGATTGGCATTTGGCTTCAACCCTGAATGGCCACTTTTCATTGTTGGTCTCCATGCAGAATAGAAGCTCACTGAGTCCGGGAACCTTGACTGTGATTTTTACCCTCCTTGCTCAGAGTACATCATGGCTTGTAATGGTCACAATAAAAATTTTTGGAACGAAGATACAATCCTTAAAGAACCTACAGTCCAGTGATTACAGGAGGGTGAGCAAGTGATAAGCTGAAGAAGGTTCTACTGAACTCCTGAAGTCTTTTACATGTTCTTTATTTATTTCTTCTATGTTGGTGGGAGGGGGTGACTGTGCCATGGTGCACGTATGGCGGTCAGGGACAATTTGCAGAAATCAGTTGTTTCCTTCCATCGTGTCAGTTTTGGGTGTTGAACTCAAGTCCTCAGACATCATTGTGAGAATGTTTACTGGATGAACCATTTCCATAGGCCCCAAACCCGAAGTCTTAATCCCTGGCAATTGTGAAGGTAACCTTATTTAGAAATAGGGTTTTTGAAGATGTAATTACTTAAATTTAGATGTAAACGTTCTAAATTGGGATGGACTCCAATCGCATGTGACTGAAGTCCCTTTAAGAAGAAAAGAGCACGCAATGATACAGACATGGGGAGAGGGGTGTGTGAAGACAGGAAAATCCAGGGATTCAGTCTCACATTTAGGAATGTGAGGCTGGCTGGTGACCACCGGGAACTATGAGGAAGTAAGGAGGGTGCTGCCCCCACAGCTCTGAGGGACTGGGCCCTGCTGACACTGCGCTCCAGGTGTTTCACCTCCAGAAGAGTGGGACAATCCATTTCTATTGTTTTAAGCCATCCTACTTAATCTATCACTGCAGGAGACTGATGAAGGTCACTATAGTGGCATGGGGAGGGGGGAGATGGGTGATAAGGTTGCTAAGCTGGTATTAGGGTTGAGTGGGAACACATCCTGGTGGAGGTGATGCTTGCTCTGACATCAGAACATCAGAAGGTGTGTAGCGACTTAACCCATGTAAAAGCCAGGCATGGTGAGTGTGCTTGTGACCCAGTCTCAGAGGTGGGAGTGGGGGTGGAGACAGGTACATCCCTGAAGCTTGCTGAACAGCCACTTTAGCTGAACTGATGAGCTTCAGGTTCAGTGATTGAGGAAAGACATTCAACAGTGACTTTAGGCCTACACATATACATGTATACACATGCACATACCACATATGTATACACCACACACACAATAAAATAAAAAGAATATTTCAAATGCAAAATCTGATTCCAGCATCCCCAGTGTCAAGTAAGCGATGGAAGCAGCTGCTGAGGAGGTTAAGAATCCTTAGCATCCTAGGCCTGAGCTCTTAGCCAATGCCCTCAAGGTCTTACAGAGTCTAAAGAGTTGGAGAGATTTTATAGGATCTCATTGAACTCCCTACTCCTTGCTTAAATTCTCTGCATGTTACAGCACTGGGCATCCAGTATCCAATGGCAGAGAAGTCATCGCTCTTACTCGTTCCTTCCCTACTCTCGTCCTCTCTGTTTCTTCTCCTGGATCTCTGATTGCTATAAACTAAATTGGAAAGAGTCTCTTTTCTTTATTAATTCTCTCTTTGGATCATGTAGACTAAATTTAACTTTTATTCCAGAGCTTTTCAAATATTTGAAGATAATCCACCATTTCCCAACTGTCTTCTTTGTGTGTGTGTGTGCACACATATGTGTACATGTTCATGTGTGAATACCTGTGTATGTGCTCTCTCTCTCTCTCTCTCTCTCTCTCTCTCTCTCTGTGTGTGTGTAAAGGCCAGAGGTTGATCTTATTCACCATTTTTGAGGCAGGGGAGACAAGATCTCTCACTGGAACTTCTGGGGCTTGTTGTTTAGGTTAGGATCAAACTCAGGTCCTCATGCTTGTGTGGTAAGCACTATACTGACTGACTTTACCCCTCCCCTCAACTGTCTTAGCTCTACCTGCTATAACAAATACTGAAGATAGGTTGTCTTAGTACTTTATTTCGCAGTTCTGGGGTTGGAAGGCTAAGATGATGGCTTGGTTCTTGGTGATGGACCCTCTTTCTGATTTTCAGAAGGCTGGTTCCTCATTGTGGCTTCATGTGACACACAGAAGTTACCTCTCCTGTATTGATTGCACTAATTCCCTCCAAGTCCCTGCCTCCAAATACCGTTATGGGGGGATTAGACCTTCAACCTAGGAATTTTGAGGAGAACACAACCATTCAGTCTGTGGCACTAACTTTGAATTCTGTCCTCCAGAAACTATCATCCAACCACTCAGAGGCAGCATAGTATTTAAGAGTGAAGGCTCTAGAATCAGTGTGTCTGTGTTTGAATCCCTTTGTTGACTGAGGATCTTGGGTACATGAAATGAAATTAGATCATAGACATGGAACACTTAGATTAGTGCCTTACACAAAGTAGGCAGTGTATACTTGTTGGCTATTGTTAGCATGGCCCCCTACTACTTGTGAGCCATAGATACTAAGAACCATGCATAGTACCGAACCCTATATATACCATATTTTCCCTACACATTCAAACTATACTAATGTTTACCATAATTAGGCACACCAGGAGATTATGAATGAGAATATAAAACATAATAACACCATACACTGTAATGAAATTCCCAGCACCCCCACTCTTCTGCTTTAGAGCCATTAGTAAGTGAAGCAAAAGTAACCTAAACATAAGCATTGTGATATTGTGATAGATGGTCTGGGAACCAAGAAGTATTTCTTTTCCTAGTTGTGTTGGGTGGAGACTGAACCCAGGGCCTTGTGCATGGTGACAAGCACTGTACCGCTGAGCTACACACCCGTCCCAATGAGAAAGCTTCTTAAGTAGCTGATGTGCAGATGTAGACTAAAAGCTTCTTAAACAGCTGATGTGGACAAAGATGGAATTTATCTCTCTATTGGGACCCCATAGGTCAGCAGCAAATTCAGTGTGCTACTTAGAATGGCACACAATTTGAAACTTATGAATTATTTTCTTCTGGAATTTTCCATTAAGTATTTTCAAACTGCAGTTGATGGTGGGTAACTGAAACCCTGGAAAGTGAAACCATGGATGAGGAATGATCTCTCTCTCTCTCTCTCTCTCTCTCTCTATATATATATATATATATATATATATAATATTTATATATATAATATTTGAGACAGGTCTCACTAGGTAGCCCAAGCTACCCTTGAACTCATAACTTTTGGTTTTTGTCTCTGTAATGCTGGGAGTGCAGGTATATACTACCATACCCAGGTAAAATAAATTTTAAGTTGCCAAAGGGAACTCTTGGGTATGCAGTGGCCAGAAGTGAGTATAGATCAGGTTCTCCCAATATCTGTGTGATTAAATCATACATGGGCTCAGTCTGGGCAAATTTTCCCATGCTGCTAGGGCCCCTGCCATTCAGTATTTCCTTTCTGTTTCTGATTCTGTCTGTCTGGGTCTCTCTTCGGAGAACTCTGAGGACCCTTAATACCTTCTGGCTTCTGTCTCAGCCTCCTTTCTACAAAAGTAGGTTGTAGTGAGGGTGGTAGCTGTTTGGGGTGCTGCCCTAGGGAGAGTCCACTGTTCCCCCACTTCTCTGTTTCTGCTCATCTTGCAAGCTAGGGCCAGGCTGAAGGCTTCTGAGAGTCAATGCCAAATTTGATGCCTTTCTGATTTCAGAGCCTGTTGTGTAAGTTCCAGAACATCAAGGCAGTCTCCTCTCAGCATCCTCCAAGAGCCTACATGCCCCTGCAGCAGGCTCAGATGTAGCCAGGGTGCGCACTGTGGCAGACACAGCCTTTTCCCACTTCCACAATGCTGGTCTAAGTTCCCCAGTCTTTCTCTTGCGCCACCACCAATTGCTAACACTCTCTCCTCCCACTACTGCACAGGTTTAATTATTACCTTGGAACTACCAAACCCAATTTTAATAGTAGAAGGTTCTACAAAGACTCCACAATTCCAAGTCTAGTTAATTGTATTATAACTTGACAGAAAAAGTCTCTTGTGTTCTTTCTCCTTGTATAATTTCTCCTTGTGCCTACTGTAGAAATTATACGCCATTTCCATTCTTTATGGCCATCCATAAAATTTTACCATGCAGATTTAACAAGGCCTACAAACACTATCCCTAACCCTCCTACTGAAAGACAAGAACTCTAGGCTATTAACTCTTACTCCCATCTTACTGAGCTATTTCCTGATACCTTAGCCTGTTTTATTTTAAAAAATAAGGACTCACAAGTTAGACATCATTATTATATTAGACTTGTATATGTATATGTATTAGACTTGTTTATGTGCTT